GGGTTAATTATTTTTCATCTTTTAATGTTTCATGAACGTGAGAACGTCAAATTGTAATTTGTAATTGTATATGATTTAGAATAAATTACAAAAAAAATAAATAATTATGGGTCAAGTTTTATAAAAATATAATTAATTTGAAGTACTAAATTGAAAAAATATGAAATTAGAAACAAAATTTTAAATAAATTAAAACACACACATGAATGAGGGATCAAATCGAATTAATTATAAAATGTAAAGTTGAAATTAATATAAAAATGAACTAAATTGCATACATTTAAAAGGTTGGTGAACAAAAGTTTATAGAATTCGAAATGAAATTTATTATGTGATTTATAGGGTTTGAAGTAAATTACAAAAATATAAATAAGTATGAGTCTATTTCAAATACAAATATACTTTTAAGGATTAAATTGAACAAATATGAAATTATAAATTAAAATTAAAATAAATTAAACAACATAAAATGATCAAATCAAAATAATTGTAAAATGTGAGAAAAATTATAAAATGAACTAAATTTCATTCATTATATATATATATATATATATATATATATATATATATATATATAGTATAAGTGGCAAGGAATAATGCCCATTGGATCAAATCCTATCAAGAGTCCAAATTGATTTGATTTTTTTCACTAAGATTGGTGACTTAACACCTAAAAAGATGAAGTCGTTTAATGGATTTGACTTTTGTATCATGTTAAGCTTGTAATTTGAACCAAAGATATTTTTTTGGTAATGGATTTCATTTATTCGGTCCTAATATATGTAAATGGACTTATGTGTAATATAAATGGGTTTTTATTATTTTTGGACTTGAATAAAAGTAGGCTATATTTATTTATAATATGGGTAATATATGTATATGGATATGGAATATGAAAGTGGTATATATATATATATATATATATACTAATATATAGTTTATATTAATGCCATGACCCGGATAAAATGGGTGATGACAAGAGCATGATTTTTAACATAAATTTGTCTAGTTGATTTTATTGTAATTTTAATGTATTAAAGTGTAATAAATTTTATTTATTCATTTATAAATTATTAGTTTTATTATTTGTTATGTTATTCAAATTTCCAAACTCAAATAAATTCATCATATATATATATATATATATTAAAATTTTAAGTTAAATTATATTTATATTATTAATCAATTATTACACAAAAAAATAAAATAGACTTATTAATATCTTAATTAATTTTATATAATCTAATAAAACATTTTTAATAACTAAATTATATAATAAAATTAATTTAATAATTATAATTAAAATTTATAATAGAAGAATTATAATTAATATAGAAAGAAAATTTATTAATTTAGTTATCATAACTAACAATTTATTTTAAATTTCAAAAATTAATCATATAATTTCAAAAATTATATTTTACATTTCGGTTTTCTCAATATTGGTCTCATATTCGTGGACTTCGGAGCATGTACTGACAAAATGGATGTAAGATTTGGACTCAGGGAATTGAGGCGAAGCGACCCATGAAACCTGGGATTGAACGATCACCATATAAGATGATCGATAGCGGTATGCATTTCGATTTTCTCACTTTTGATCATATTCAAAGCATATTCCGACAAAATGGAGGACAGATTCGAACTCAGGGGATCGAGACGAAATGATCGATGAGATATGGGATCGAATGGTCACTATCTACGACCTCGACGGTGGCGTCCAACACCGAGAAACAGTGGATGACCATCATCTAATTTTATTTTATATTTTAAATTATTTTTATATTAAAGAATAATAAAAAAATCTATGACATACCAAAATCAAGTGAGAAATGGTCTAGTTTACCCTTTTTAACGTATAATTCATCCCTATAAAAGTTAGAATGAACAATTTACCATTAATATTTTATTGAAAATTGACCTAATTAAAAATAAATATCTAAATCATATTTATTAAATGCTTAATATTTTCCATGTTATTATTTAAATGTTTAATTTATCATAACTGTTAAAAAATTCGTTAACTATTCAAACTATGACACATGATACACTTATAAATTTTGGCTTAATATAAAAATAAATGCCTAAATTATACTATTTTACCCAAAGTTGTGCCTAAACTTTTTTTTGGGTAAATCCAAATACCTAATATTACAAACATTACCACTTTAGGTGGATTGGCCATAACGACCATTTAAAAACTCCATTAAGTGACACATGTCACATTCTAATATTTTTGAAATTTTTTATTTAAATAAAAAACTTAAAAATACAATTTCTTTTAAAAACCCCAAAAATTTCCAAAATCTTTAAAAAATCTCAAAACTTTGAAAAATCTTTATTTCAATCCCTAAACCCACGCCGACCGCCACCCTTTGCAGTCATCGAACCTCCACCCGGCCTCACCTTCACCCAATAACCAATAACCGCACAAACATTCACCAGAACAAGAGCCAACAAAGGACTAATCATACGACCCCCTAACGAAGAATAAAGTTGCAAATCGCGACCCCACGGGATCCTGATGACCAATCGACGATAAGGATGATGACGTCTGACTAGGGAGATGGTAGGACGACGTCGACAACGACAACCAACAAGGGAGGTAAGGTTAGGATTTTTTGATAATATTTTAAAGTTTCTTTTTTCTTTTGAAAATAAAATTTTCAAAATTGCCTACGGGCGACACATATCACTTAACAAGCTTTTTCAATGGTTGTTATAGTTGAGACACCTTAAGTGATAATATTTGTAATATTAGGCACCTAGAATGACAGAAAAAATTTACACACCACTCTGGGGTAAAACAATATAATTCAGACACTTATTTTTATATTAAGCCACAAATTTTTTAATTGAACCTTAAACATCTACTTTGATAAAAAAAATACTTCATGACAGAAAAATTACATTAGTTTTTAAACAAAAAAAAAAGTATAGTCCTATACATTAGTTTTTAAACAAATATTTTTTTATTTTACTTCCATATTCCTTTTTCAGTCATCAAAAGTTAATCAACCACAACTTTTCATCATTGTATTTATTTTTATAAATTAAGTTTACTACCCAAACAATATAAGAAAAATAATTGGATAACAAATAAAATTCTCTACATCAAAATGGTTAGTTGCACAATTAGATTAAGGGTAAATTAAACTCTTACTCACTGAATTTTACTCTCTCTCCTATTTCACTTACCGTACTTTCAATTTTTTCAATTTGCTCACTGACTTTAGACATTGAACATTTTTTGTCACTCGACCGTTAGATTTCTAACAATGTTATGTTGTTGCTAAATTAAAATTAAAAAATTAAAAGTATAGAGAGTGAAATAGGAGAGAGAAAGTAAAATTCAGTGAGTAAACATGTGGCATGCTTCATTATTAAAATAAGCCACGTAAACACCCTGTTACTGAGTAAACGGTCGAGTGACAAAAAAAATTCAATGTCTACAATTTAGTGAGCAAATTCAAAAAATTGAAAGTATGACGAGTGAAAAAGGAGAGAGAATAAAATTCAATGAGTAAGCATGAAATTTACCCTTAAATTAAGCATATATTTCATTAAATTCGTTTGTACTTAAATAAATTGAGATCCACAATTCAATGCATGTTTAAATACATACCATGGTTAATTGTATAATCCATTTTATCACATGTTTGTAATTATATGAATTTATTAAACTAGATTAAATGTACAACTGAAAATAAAACTCATTCAACATTTCTAATATTGGACCTATCAGATGAACTAGATAATTAAAAGGAATGTTATTCTTCCTAAAAGTCTTAAGTTTAAATAGTTGACAAATGTGTATACATTGTCAATGACAAAGAAAGATTCTGAATAGATAACACATTGTAATCACTCAAGACTATTGAAAAAAAAACATTTCAAATATTGAACTCATCAAGTGACCTCAGTGGTTAAAGAGAGTATTATTCTCCCTAAAGGTCATGGATTCAAACAGCTAACGAATGTGTATGTGCTTTCAATGACTAAGAAAGATTCTGAACATATACTATATTGTAATCACCCTAGACTATTAAAAAAATAAACATTTCCAATGTTTAACCCATCAAGTGACCTCAGTGATTAAAATAAATGTCATTTTCCCTAGAGGTATTGGATACAAGAAGTTGACGAATGTGTGTGCATTGTCAATGACTAATAAAGATTCTGAATAGATACAACATTATAATCATCCTAGACTATTAAAAAAAATATTTCTAATGTTGAACTCATCAAGTGGCTTCACTGATTAAAAGGATTGTCATTCTCCCTATAGGTTTTGGATTCAAGTAGCTGACGAATGTGTATGTGCTGTCAATGACGAAGAAAAATTCTGAACGATACTACATTGTAACCATCCTAGATTATTAAAAAAAACAAACTTTCCAATGTTGAACCCATCATGTGGCCTCAATGATTAAAGGGAGTGTCATTTTTCCTAGAGTTTCTGGATTCAAGTAGTTGACGAATGTGTATGTGCTGTCAATAACTAAGAAAGATTCTGAATAGATACTGTATTGTAATCACCTTAGACTATTAAAAAAAGAACATTTCCAATACTGGAATAGTCAATACGGACTTTGATTTGGTTCGGATTGTGAAGTCAGTTGAGAAGAGCAGCTAAAAAGAGATACAATTATGTAAAAACTAAAGGATGAAGCTCCAAACATGAGGAAAGAATCAATAAAAAAATTGAAACAGTTCCTTCCCACCTTTAAACCTAAGTGGAAAATATAGATAGAACATCCTCTAGTTTTTCTTGTAGGAGAGCTACAAATCTAAAAACATTCATTACTCCATCTTCTATTTTAAAAGAAGGTGAAGCAAGTAAAAAGAAAACAAACAGGCCGAGGGGATGAGACACAAGATTACAAGAATTAGGCAGCGCACACCTGGGAACAGTGATAGGTTTGCATCCTCGTGGATCTGTGACAGCCATTTCTTAATCTTGAGACTACATCGCGTGCTACGTAGACACATTTTAGCCTTTATGTCGCTGCTTGGAGGGAACGGGAAAGGAACTTCCACCGTCAACAACCTAAAAAGGAAAAAGTTATACCAAGCAAGTGCACTTCTTGGATCAGCTTTATGCATAGTACAAGTATAAGCTGTTTGCAGCAGCACAGGCAATCAAGTTTTCAATCGGGTTCCATGCAAGGTGCAGCAGCTTTGTTGTGAAATCAAAAGAACTTCCATTCGCATCGGCTCCGGGAGTCTCTGATCCTGATATACCACAAATTCACCACCATAAAAGCTTCAGAGTACAATTCAAGAACTGAAAAAAATTCATTAAACCGTCCCAATCATAATTATAAAGGCTTCAAAGGAAGAAAATACTCGAAAGGATAAAAATGAAGAACAAATCATAACCTCTTCTGACAACACGTGTTATACTGCTTAGGGGTCTGGAAGGCCTTGAGGGAGTCTGAACCTGTCTCCTGGAAAGACGAATGGATGCTTATAAATACTTGAGTGTCATATTTTTATCTAATTTTATTTTATGTTTGAAAGGCCGCCCTGCAGTAAAATTTTACCTCATTGGATTTTTGTTGGCTTCTAAAGTTGTAGACTCGGTGCTTCCAGGGGCACAACCAAATACACGGAACAGGTTGCTGAAAGTATGCGGACATGTATATTGTTACATGGAAGAACACAAAACAAGAAGTTAGGAGACAGCTTTTGGATGAAAACAAACCTGTAGGAACCTGTTGCCACTCGCAATCCATCACCACTTAGGCAACATTCAAATTTGTCAAAGATTGAATCATTTTCATACAAATCACACAGCTGAAACAATTAAAGAATGCAATAATCAGCTCTGTCAAAGCATAATATAGATATGGTTAATTTCATCATCTGTTTTAGAACATAGAAATCCCACCTTAGGTCGTAAATATTCATGAACCTGGAATGTTGCAACTGGACATAAATCCATATTGATGTCCCACAGCTGGCAACCAAGTGATATGTAATCAGGTCAGACGACAAGTCCTAAATGCCCGTTAAGGACATATCAAATGTATATTATATCAAGGACACTTAGTTTAAAACCAACATCGGAAGTCTTACAGCTGAAAAGTAGGCATACTGGTAAAAAACTTAACAAAAAAAGTAGATACTGATATGAATTAACAGTATTATGAGGGATTCAAATTTATGTTCAAAGATTAAAAAAAAATGAAAGGAAACAGCATGTGATTGATTCAAACAAAGAATGGGGAAGGAATACGGAATAGACTTTAAAAATCATATAATTGTATACTTATGGTCAATGAATAGAAGAAGCTATCATAACATTTAATCTTAACCCCCGCTTGTTTCATGCCTTCATGATAAGCTCTCTACAGAATAAATAAAATTTTTAGACTATCTGAGTCCAAGCCAAAATGCCAGCAAGCCAAATTGTTGTTTCCATTTTAATCACATTTGTGTTAAATGTCTAAAAACCTAAGATGTTTTGTCAGACAGATATTTGTAGAACAAGACCACTGAATTGAATCACATTTGCGTTAAATGCCAAACAACCTAGAATGTTTAATCAGACATATATTAGCAGAAAAAGACCATTGCAGTTTCATGCTTTCTGCATAAGACATTGCACTGATGCAGCTGTAGACACTAATTTTTTAGCGCCACATGTCTCCTTTCCGAAGACTCCTCCTGCAGCCAATTTTCACAGCAACCAAAGAGCGTTAGAAGTCTATTTTGTATAGGATTCTAAAAATAGTCTACTTTTTCCATTATAAATACATGTAATCCATATCATTTGTAACACACGAATGGAGATACGAAATACAAGCAGAAATTACGAACAATCTTAGAGCGAAATCAGAGTTTTTTTTCCTGCAAGTTTTCGAAGAGAAATACAAGGTAAATATAGTACCTTTTTCGAGTTTACGCTTGCATGCTTGTGTCTCGTTACATTTTGTATTCTAAAAACACCAAAGAAAACGATTTTTTGCCGATGAACAGGGGCATTTTTCAGGATCTATTTTTATAGATCTAGCCCCCGAGGCTTCTTTTCTTGAGAAAATACTTTGATTTTCGGAATGGGGGTGAAAAAGGGGTAATCTCACTCTTGGTCCCCTTGTTTATAAAGGATTTAATTTTCACCCTGAAATCCCAATTCATCCTCAAAGTGCTCCAAAATTTGTCATTCAATTTTCTTTTTTTACATTCTAGTCCGTTTTCTAGATTTGAATTTCAATTTTCTTCTTATTTTATTTAATATTACATTATAGTATATATTTGATATTACTCCTGTATATTATTATTATTTATTTCCTTTTGTTGTTATGTATATACATGTATCATTATTATTTTATTATTTACTTATTTTATTTATATGTTATATTATATATATATATATATATTTTTTTTTACGTTATTTCTTAATATTTTTCTTTATATATTTTTTAGTTTACAAGCTAATATGTATGTATTTCCTTTTTTACCTTTTTCCCTTCGTTTTGTTTATTTATTTTATTTTTATTTTCTTTATTCATTGATTCATTTTTTCTATTTTATTTATTTATTTATCTTATTCCATTGTCTTTATTTTTTTATATATTCCTTTTATTTTCATAATCTCCATATCAACTGTGTTGTTTACTTTTCCTCCTTATTTGTTAGTATTTTTTTTGTTTATCTCTTCTTTATTTCATTTTCTTTATTTTCAATTTATCTTCATCGTTTTTGTTTTTCTAACACTTTTCTTGATTATTTAAGGGTTCGTTTTCCAAACCTTAGAGGTGAATAATTTGGATCGTCATTTTATCTTTTAATTTAACTTACAATTTACTTAATCAAAGACAACTGGAAATTACGTAGTACCGAAAAGGTAGTTCAAGGGTGCTAACCCTTCCTTGACTGTAACCGACTCCCGAATCCGACATATCTTTGGTAAGACGCATATCAGGTAAGAAATAAGGTGTCCGATCAACCCATTTTCTTTAAAATAAATGATCGGTGACGACTCCTAATCCATTTTCCTAAGTCGAAGCCCAATTTCGGGGCCCAACCGAAAGACAGTTGCGACAGCTTGGCGACTCCGCTGGGGATACAGGTAAGTGAGTCAGGCTAAGGTAATTTCCAGTTGTCTTTTTAAAAGGGTAAGTTTAAATTTTAAGGTAATATTTCGATCCTTATTACTTACCTTTGATTATATTTTTTTGAGTAAATAGTTGAACTGGCCATTTTCTAGTGATTTCAGCTTTCCAAACTTTTTCATTCAAGGCTCTAAACCCGAGCTCTGAACCCATTTTAAGTGGGGGTGAAAGAGACGCATTTGTGTGAATTTATTCACCTCATATGCCAAGCAAGTAGCCTTCGTGATTCATATACCTTATGTCTTCGTGTGAATTTATTCTCCGTATAGACATAAGGGAATGTGTCCTCTCGAGTTTAACTTAGTCCACACAAGCCTGTGATTGGTTTAGGACTAAGGGTCTGGTAAGCCCAAAGGGGAACCAGCAAGGAGAACTCGGGTACCATTTTTTAGAACCTAAACCGGAAGAATTTGAAGAAATAGAGCCTACCCCAAAACCACATTCCAAAACCTAGGACATTTCTTTCCTAACCATGTTTTTTTTCTCTTATGTTTTTTTTCTTGCAATTTTTTTATTATTATTTTTATTTATTTATTTTTATTTCTATTTATTTTTATTTTACTAACTGTTTGCCTTTTGTGTTTGTTTTTAAAGCATTTGCATCATAACAAGAGGCCATTGATCCCTAAAAAGGCATTTGTTACATAAAATAATCTGAATTAATGGATAAAGGTGTTGTAATACAAGAGATTAAAAACCCCGAGGTACGACTATGGTCCGAGAAGACTCAGAAGGAAAATGGAGATAGTCTTCAAGGAAGCTATGTGTCAGAGCTGGTTAGCTACGCCTCTATCAGCCTAAAGCAGAACGATGTGCAAGAGCTTCGGGACATCTGGGGCAGTTAGAAGAATGATCAGAAATAGAAGTTCAGCCAACGGTACGGTGACATTGCATTGTTGTTTCAAATCAAGACTGATGAGCCCTTGATCAGAGCCTTGGTTCAGTTCTGGAACCCAGTATACAGTTGCTTCACTTTTAATCAAGAGGACATGGTGCCCACCATTGAAGAGTACACTACACTGTTGCACTGTGAAAATATCAGACTGGAGCGAGCTTATATTAAACACATCAAAAGTCAGCCTTTCAAGAGTGCACTAGCCAAGGTTACTGGGGTTGACGAAAGATGGGTAGACCGAGCTCGATGTAAAGGCAGTGGGGAAGGAATTGCCTGGCTTCATATCAAGCAACTGATGAAGGACCATCCCGATGAGTGGAAGGCAATAGACCTGTTTGCACTGGGTCTGCATGGCCTGATTATATTCCCGAAGACTTTGGGGTACATTGACGCAGCCGTGGTGGAACTGTTTGAGCAACTTTCGAAATGAGTCAACCCAGCACCGACCATCTTAGCCGAGACATTTCGGTCTCTCAACCATTGCCGAAGAGCTGGCGGAGGTAGATTTATTGGGTGTGTTCAGCTCCTTCAAGTCTAGATTCACAGCCACTTCTGGAAGACTAATGGGGTTGCCTAACGCCGATTTAGCACTACGTATTCACCTTTGAGAGAGTTAATCACCATGAAATGGCATGAAGGCGCTTCAAAAGAGAAGTGGATGAAAGTCTTCACTCATCTCCAAGATCAGGATATTACCTGGAGAGCCCCCTGGTTGTTCCTCAGTGACGTTCTTTTTCGATGTGGGGACTCCGACACTATGACCTTACTTGGACTTTGGGGTGCAGTTGGGTATGCTCTGTTGTTAGCACTTAGACAGTATGGGGCACGTCATTTTGTCCCAGCAACATGCGGACTAGCCAGATCAGAGTTTGAGTATCACGGTGACAACTATAAGATGATCAAGAAAGCAGTCGATTCATGGAAGAAAGTATTCCGGATGGATGTTGTAGCTGCCAGAAACATGCTTACTTCGGACTATGTGGAGTGGCGAAGATTGAGAAAAAATGACAATATCACGGTGCCAGACTCTGAGGACACCCGAACCTTGGAAGAATATCTCAGGCCCGTATTTTTTGAACTTGAGATAGCCAAGACAGAGTTTGAAGCTGTGAATAACGAGCTGAAGCAGAGGGTAAAGGATCTTGAAGCTGAGCGCTATTAGTGGAAGCTAGATGTCGACTCTCAGAAAGATCGAGCAGAAAAACTTGAAAAAGAACAGAAAAAGTCTGTTTAAGATAAAGTCAAGGATAACTCCAAGTTGAAAGTGGCTTCTGAATACTGGAAAGAAGAAGCTCATAGCCTGAAAAGAAAGTTCGAAGGGCTTGATGAGAGAGCTTGGAAGGAACAGATGAAGACTGCCCAAGAGGCGCTTAGCAGACAGTCAACATCAAAACCAATGCTTGAGAATCCAGATGGCTGATCTGGAGAAACAACATGAGAGAGATGGAAAAACAATAGCCGAGTTAGAAGCTATTGTTGATGGGTTCAAGAAAAAAGTGAGGGAGCTTCAGATAGTGCTCTTCGACGGAGGTTTACAATGGCGTTTCCATTGGGAGCAAGCACAACAAAGGGTGAAGGCCAGAGACACGGTCATCTAAGACTTCCTGGATCAAGTACAGAAGGCAGCTCGTCATCTACACGGCCTGGAAAGGGAAGCTGGAATGGTCCGACAAGGCATACAACTAGTGACAGATGAAGACAGAAAACTTGTCAACCTACTAGAAGCTGTTCGGGGTCTAGAGGATTTAGTCCGAATGTACCTTTGATCGTTTTTATGTCTCTTACAAGATAAAACATTTTTGTCTAAGTAAAGATTATTTATAATAATGGACTCTTTTCTGGATCAATGCCTCGAACATTTCATGCATTCTTGCATTTTGCATTTTTTCCTTTTTGCATCTTCATCTACATTTTTAAGCATTTTCACAAACATGAAATTAAGTCATG